TGATTAACAGTATGCCCACAAAGCCAAAACAAAGCCAAAACAAAGAGAATGATGGAAACTCTAGTAATTATAATACTCAGAAAAATTACAGGACTAGTGCTGAAGGACCGAAAGAGGAGTTATGAGTTCAGCATAAAATGTAATGTACAGGATATATACGAGAGGACAGTATATGTATTAAAAATGGAATAATTATATCCCAGTAAAATAGCGGACATAATAAATATTTAGAAGAATAAATAGAAGAAGACGAAGAACAAAACGAAACTCTTCAAGTATAGCACCGTATAGTTCCCTGTATCCTAATGTATATTATTATTAATATATTTCACTTTTTCTACTTTTAAAATATTGGTAATATGGAAAATTTTTTATATTATTTTCAAAATAAGTCACACATTAATGTATTTCTTAAAGTAAAAGTAAATTTTCTTAAAAAGTTTGGTTTGTATCATGAACGAACTAATTTTATGTATTTTCCTACAGGACGAAATTGAAAGAGACGCAGACAGATTATGCGCTGTTTTATCAGGTGAATTGAGAGATTTCTGCGAACACGAAATGATTCCAAAAGTAGACAAAATCTTCGAGGAGCTGATCAAACATTCACCTGATGATGTATGCGAACATTTACATTATTGTGGCAAATAAATACTTGTTATAATATGTACATATATTTATAAAAGGGCAAAATAAAATTATAAATAATTATTTGTTTTTTTTATGTAAACGTTTAGGTCTTTGCTAAGGATTAATTTTCCAAAAAAGAAAACTGGAATTGTAAATTATAAAATATATTATTCCTAATATTGTTCTGAAGCCATTTTCTTGTAGCATTTTAAAGTAATTAATATTTTAATGGGTGTAAGCCATAATTGAACATTAGTAAATTAAACAAATTTTGTTTTTCTTGTTACGTGGTGAAAAATTCTTCTACTACTTTAATTTTATCTGACTACATTATACATTTTAAAGTAGACGACTTTTAAAATGATATTGCCAGTATTGTTGAGTTGCGCCCCAGAAGCGACTTTACTTATAAGATAGTTCATTCGATTACATGAAATCAACTTTAACTTGAAAATACAAGTCATAACAAAACCATAGCATGTAATTCGTCTTTAAAAAGACAAACATATGTCATGATGACAGTAAAATTCTCCTGTTAGTGATTCCTTAGTAAATTATGAGGAAAAAGCAAAAAAAAACCTCATAATACAATATTAATATTACAGAGGGAATCATTAAATCCTTATAAGATAAATCCAAAATTACTTGTTCTAACGAAAATTCGCTCTTTTTGGTCAAAAACCAAACCAAACAATGAACAAGAAAGGACAAAAAATTGCATTTATAAAATACCTTGTAAATCCGATCAGTTTTATTTAGGTAAAACATCAAGACCATTAAATGTTAGAATAAGTGAACATTAGAAGAATATGTATGTGGGGAAGAAGAAGAATATGTATAACAAATTTCTAGCAACAAAGGACCCAGTACAACAGCTTAAACAAAGAAGTAGAAAAAGAGATAAGTAAAGCCAAAAATGAGAGGTGAAATAAAGCCTGCGATAACGTAGAAAATTTTGTGGTTACAGCAAGAAGTAAAGAAGCCTGGAAAACAATTAAAAGTAGTAGAACAGATAGAAAAGAATGCAGTAGGTTAACTCTAATAGCCCCAGAATTATGGGTCGAATATTATAAACAAATGCTGACAGAAGATTGAACAGAATTCCAAGATATTGGCTACCAAAAATATATATTTCCTACCGCGAAGAAACTGAAATAACACCAGAAGACATTAAATAACACTCTAACGCTATCAAAAATGGAAAGGCTCCAGGACCGGGGGAAGTACCCATTAAACTATTTAAATATGGCCCTGACAAACTAATTCAGCTATTTTCTTATACTTTTAATTTATTTTTAAGACAAGAAGAGCTACCCCCAGAATGGAAAGCTGGATATATCAGCAATTTATACAAAAATAAAGGCGACAGAAAAGATTGTAAGAACTACCGAGGGCTTAGTGTAATTAACTTAATCTACTACTAACTAACTCTTCTTCCTCTTCAGATGCAAATCCACTAATGGATGTTAGCGATCACATTTTCCATTAACTCTCTATTTCTTGCAATATGTATCAGAGATTGTATGTCGTTAATTCCTGTCCATTGCCTTATGTTTAGGAGCCAGGACATTTTCTTGCGTCCCATTCCTCTCTTGCCTTCAATTTTACCCTCGATTATAAGTTGGAGGAACTGGTATTGGAGAAACTGGTATAACTAACTCAAACGTACTTTGTAACGAAAATATTTTGCCTACCACAGGGGGCATTAATACGGGAGATAGAAAATTGGGGGAAAAAACTATTGGGGGTGGAGATAGGGCAAGCAAAATAATCGCTACTGATGCGAACGGCACTCAGGGTTTCGTAGGAGAGCTGGGGTCGTGGAGAAGTAAAAGATAAGGGCATTGGAATGGGGGAACTACAAAAAAATGAAATAAAGGGCTTTTGGGATAAACAAAATAAAATTAAACAGGAAACACCTCAAGGAATTTAATATAGGGCGCCACTTGAGGTGCCTGATCATGCCTATTATAACCACTAGTTGTAACTAGGGAGATAATTAGAAAAAAATTTAAAACATAAAAAACATATCTTTTTCAAATAAACTCAAAAAGGGTTTGGCTCAAAAAAAAAATAAATAAAAAGTTAAGACAACAAAATTTAACATTTATTTATGTGTCACCACAAACAGTTACATGGAGAAATACAAAATTTAAAAACTTACATGTGTCATCCATTAACAAACTCCATTGCTACAAAACTTACAAAATTGCATGGAGGTTAACCTTTTAAAACAAAACAAAACAAATCAACATCAAAAATACTAAAACGAGCTGTCATAAATTAACATTAAATTTCAAAAAAAAACTAAACACAAATTGACAGCTTTACTCAAAACCTAAAATTTACAATTTTAACTGTCAACAAAAGCAATTATTATTTTATATAAAAAAATGTCTGTCTTTAGTTTAAAATTTGAACAAAATGTTACCTTAATTCACATGATCACATATAACTTTCTGAAACCATAACTGGAACCTGGAACTGAGGGCTCCACTCTCTCTGCATCACGAAAACCTCCATCTCCAAAACTGCCAAAAGCCTTGGATAAAAGCAGGAACAAAAAAGCAAAAACGAGGATGTCCTCCAATCCTCACTCAAAACATTAATAATTGAAGCATTTACTGCCACAAAACCAATAACAAACTGCTACATATTCTTCATAACAAAAGACGAAAATAGAATACTTTACAAATTCGACGTGAATTTGGACATAACGTTGAACCACTGTTGAAGGCTGCTCCAACGAGAGTGAAGAAATTCTATTAAAATTGAACGCATACATACAAAACGCTGACATAACAAGACACCACGAAACGACGTACATATCCTTTTGCGACGCATTAAATTTGAAAAGAATTTGCCGAAGTAAAATAAATAAACAACTCTAAAATGGTTTATTTCAACTTGGCCGACCTAAGAAATAAATGAAAAGATATTTGGGTTTAAATACGAACGAAATATTTTTAGATCTATCAAAAATATATAAGGTGATTTTAATATTTCGTATACAAGGGGACTTCAATATACTTCAAAGAATCAATGAAATTGAAAATGCTACAACTTTATTCTTTACTTACTAACTAACTTAGTCCTAAGCCTTTCTACCGTTAGGTGTAAGGCTGGTGGAGTTAAGTTTTGCACTGTTGTCTCCATGCTTTCCTGCACTAAATTTTAACAATAGGCAAGTCTGTTACATCTTTGAGATAACCAAAGAGAAAATATACAAAGTATGCCAGAAAAATTCGCAAAATCAGTTAAAGCAAACAACACATAAGAGCAAGTACCAGTCCAAAACCCACTGACAAACCACTTCCAGAAAACTAAAGGGCTAAAACAGAAAGATAAGCTGGCTACAACTCTGTTTTGTATTTATAAAATATTTTATACGAAAAATGCTGTTAACTTAACTTTTTTTTTATTTGATATGACTAAACATATTGTGATGATCACACACGATGTTAACTTGATGAGATGAACTATAAGAGACATCACAGAAGTTTATGTGGAACAGGGAGAAACTGTGAAAAAAATAGATTTAGCCCTTTACCTAGATAAAACTAAAGTTCTAATACAGAGAGAAAACAAAGAATCTTAAAAAAATTACGAATAGACGACGCAAATGCTAAAGTTGTAAAAGAAGCTCATATACCTGGGAGTACAGATAACTCACGAGTACGGCAGCGAGGAAGAAGAAATAGGAAGATGAAAAATTTATGATAACAATATATATTTTTTTAATATTGTTCTGAAGCTATTTTCTTGTGGCATTTTAAATTAATTACTATTTAACTGGGAATAAGTCACAATTAAAGATAAAACTACGTTTATTGACGTTTCAATTTCCACTTCGGAAATCGTTCTCAAAATACAAAACTATGGAAATTGAAACGTCAATAAACGTATTTTTATCTTTAATTGTGGCTTATTCCCAGTTAAATAGTAATTAATATATTTTTTTATCTCATTTCAGGTAATATTGCTGTGTTTTTCTTCAACCACCATACCGTTTGGCAATGCTACCAGTATCATTATAACGAGTTATGGTGCAATACACAAACATTTTATTCACTTTGGGGTGTTTGATCTAGCGAACAAAAGGTGGTTGTGATTTTTCAGCCAAATATAACGCAATCACACTATTGCGTTTAAACTCCATTGCGAATAACTTCTGCTGTATATATAAAACTTAAATGCAAATGATTTTGACGGCTTATAAACAATATGCTGAAGTATTATCGAACTAACTTTGACGTAGCTGTCATTATCGATTTGCCCGATATATCGATGTGAAGTTGGTAACAGTTCAATTATATAACCCTGTATATTAAAATTAATCCTTGGCAAAACTCTACATGGTGAAGCATAAAAAAAAAACAAGATTACTATTTATAATTTTATTTTGCATTTTTTAAAGATATGTACATACTAACAAGTATTTATTTCCCACAATAATGTAAATGTTCGCACACATCATCAGGTGAATGTTCGATCAGCTCTTCGAAAATTTTGTCAACTTTTGGAATCATTTCATGTTCGCAGAAGTCTCTCAATTCACCTGATAAAACAGCACATAATCTGTCTGCGTCTCTTTCAATTTCGTCCTGTAAGAAAATACACAAAGTTAGTTTTCTCATGATATAGACCAAGCTTTATCGATTTAAACTTTTTATATTGTTTAAAGAAACTGACTTACAACTGACTTGTTATTGGAAGTATCTTAAAATTTAGACATACTACTGATCCTGTAAAAGTATTAAATATGGAGAAACTTATTAAACTGAAATAATAGGATATACGAAGCTATTTAATGTTTATGTCACAATGTTACAGAATAACACAAAATATATAAACAGCATGCAAAAATAAAAAACATTTAATACTTTTCTAAATTATGTAAATGCCATCAATATTAAGACAAGTGTAGAAATAACTAAAATACATAGGATGTACTTTTGGAGTTTTAAAATCAAAACATAGCTTAGAACCAAATTGATAGTATAGCACAAGACCTAAAAAATCCTAATAAGTATTTACAAGATCGTATTTTTGAGTAAGATATGGACATCATAAACTATAGCAAAGGAGACAAAAAAACAGAAAATTTTGGTTAGTTTAGACATAGTTGGATCTACTGGATTCTGTATTCGAAGAATAGAGAAGTAGGGTAAATAATTTACAACAAAAAAAGCTTTAAGGACAGTAATATGGCCAAATTGCTATTAGAGTTGACGTTATTATAACTAACTGTTTGTTTTAATAGAAAAAGTAAAATTTGCTTCTTAATTTTCACCAAATTAATGCATGATTTATCTCTTTCTCTTTTTATGTAATGTTAAAAGTTTCAGTTAGTTAAAAATAAAATGTTTTTTAATATTCAACCATTGATCGAAAATAATTTAATGGACCAGTACAAAAAAGTTATAGTAAAACTGCTTATAAAACTTACCACAGGAATTTTCTCTTCGACGTAATCCTTGATAACAGTTGCGAATGTTATACAGGCGTCGCATTCAAATCTGCAAAGAAAAATCTTTTGATTTATACAAATTACGGAAAGATTATTAATAATAAAGGTTATCATATCATAATAAAACCCACGTCTAGGTTTTTTATTTACCATAATATCATTCTTTTGTTAACGAGTTACTTGTAGGGTCTGCCGGATTTTAACAGTCTTCCTACGCATATTCATTCTTGACTATGCATAGATCTCCTCAGATTGCTATCGGTCTTCAATTTTACCCATAAGTGTTAGCTGTAAGAGCTGGTACTATTATTCTTTTAATACGTTTCCCAAATAAGCTATTTTTTCTGCATTTTGTTGAGTTTAATAGTTTTCTCTTAGTATTACTCGTTTATAGAACATCTGCAATATATACATAATATGTTCTATTCATGAAATGGGAAGCATTTTTCTGCATCTATACATCGAATGTTTCAAGAAAATTAATTGTTTTTGGATTTAATCTTCACGAGTCAACACCATCATACAAATCTATACTGGCATCAAGTGGTAAGAATAAAGGTTGAACAAGAACTGTCGGATGAAATAAATATAAAAAGAGGAGTGAGACAAGGCTGTATATTGTTGCCTTTACTTTTTAACTTATATTCGGAGGAAATATTTAGGGAAGCCTTAATGGAGACAACCGAAGGTATTATTGTGAATGGAGTAACCGTCAACAATATTAGATATGCCGACGATACCTTAGTCCTTGCCAATTGCGGAGAAGACCTTCAAAATCTAATGAACAAAATAAAACAGACTTGTGATCAGTATGGATTAAAACTCAACGTTAAGAAAACTAAATATATGATAGTTAGCAAACAAAATTATATACATGATGACGGTATAAAAGTCGGAGATGCCACACTGGACAGAGTAGAGAAACTCGTGTATCTCGGCAGTAATATCAATGAGAGCTGAGATCCAACCGCAGAAATTAAAAGTCGAATAGAACAAGTCCGAGCTGCCTTTGTAAAAATGAGAAACGTACTTTGCAGTCATGATCTTAGCATTGACCTTAGAGTTCGTATGATATCTTGCTAGATCTTTCCTGTCCTGCTGTATGGAGTAGAAGCGTGGACCCTAACTGAGGCTATGCTTAAACGCTTGACAGCCTTTGAGATGTGGGTATACAGACGACTACTGAAAATAAGCCGGGTCGACACAGGTAGAAATGAGGAGGTCCTTAGACGGCTGAACCAAACAACACAACTGGTCAATATAATAAAGAAACGCAAGCTGGAATACTTCGGTCATATTATGAGACACCCTGAAAAATATGATCTTTTACATCTGATCATTCAGGGAAAGATCCAAGGTAATCGTGGTCCTGGTAGAAGAAGAACATCATGGCTGAAAAATCTAAGGCAATGGTATGGAAAATCAACTACATCGTTATTTAGAGCTGCTGTCAATAAAGTCACGATAGCGAATATGGTAGCCAACATGATATCCAACGATCGATAACGGTCATGGAACTAGAAGAAGAAGAAGTCAACACCATACAATACAACTAAATACATATATCATTTTTTTTACTTGTTATATTAGATTCAAGTTAAGATTATCATTGCAAAAGAATGGCTTTATTTTTTTGAAATTTTTCTCTCGATCATTTCATTCTACTTTTATTCTCAGAGTCTGGGTGTAGGTCTTACTGAATATTACTTTCAAAGTATTTAAATCCTTAAACAGTATCCATTTCTACTTCGTTAAGTTCTAACATATTGTTGTTATATCTTGTTGGAATAAATATCAATAACTTAACCCAACGCATATTTAATTATAGTTAGTTCATCCGTATTTAATTCTACGTAGAAAATATTTACATCATTGTTACTTACTCATTGTCAGGCTCTGGCTCAGGTTCGCGAGTAGGTTCAGGTTCAGGCCCTTGGGCGTAAACAGTAAGAGCTGAAAATAAATATTTGTTTTAAAATACAAAAACACTGTTTATTTATAACAATCACAATAACATATCAAGTTCTTTGAATGTTTGGAAAGTTAATGAATTTGGTTAGGCAGATGCATTAATCAGATATATAAAAATTGATAAAAAAACAACAAATAATTAAGTTATTTTAGATTAACCAAGCAATAATACAAAAAAGTAATGAATTATGAATGAAAAAGTGGACAAAATGGATGTCAAGATCAATGGACAACTTAGACAATCTATAGAAATAGGCAACGGAATAAGACAAGGGGATTCATTGAGCTCCATGCTCTTCAATTTGATTATGGATGAAATAACCAAATAAGCAGAATGGAAAAGACCCGTTCATCAAAATAGCAGGAGATGAGTCAACAATCGGCAGAGGAAGTATCGGACGATGGTGCAAAAGGTGGAGTGAAAAGTATTAAAATCCGTCAATGTACAAGAAGAATTCCTTATTAAGAGAGAGAAAAAGAAAAAGGAACTAGATTAAAAATAGCATCAAAAAATGAAAAAATAAACAAAAAAAAAAGAAAATTTTATTTGCTACAACTTATTTCATTCTAGAATATTACTGTTTCGATTGGTATTTTTTTAGGTTAGGTCAATTATTACCATTGATAGTCAATACTGTATTAGTTATGGTTTACGTATCTACCAAATTATATTTTTTTCTTAAATCACTTCAAATCTACAAGCAGATTGGTAATTTATTGGTAAAAAGCAGAGTATCAAGTTAAATTTTTTACGTCATAATAAGGCAATAGGACCTATAAACCATAATAATCAACGTTTGGAAATACAATAAAATAAATATTTAAATATATAAAATTGCCTTAATATGTCTTTTGAGAAAAAATTAGATTTAATTTTCCCCCATGTTCTTTGGTTAAGATTTTCTTTGGCGTCTGCTACCTTTTAGGTACAAACTTCCTGACTATTTTTACTAGAAAATGCTTAATATATCTAGATTGAATTCATCTATTTAGTCGAAAATACAAATTATATGACAAGAAAAAATGTAACAAAACTTTTTATAAATATATAATTATCATTACTTACCAACGAAGCTCAATAGTGCCAAAACCAATGTAGTCTTCATGTTTAAGAATTATATTTCAGAATAATATGCACCGCGCTGGTTAAGTTTATATACTAAAAGTCCACCACTTGAAAAAAGGACCACTTGAAAAATAAATTTTTTAATTATTGATACTCCCCACTACCTACATTTTTTTATTTGGCCTCAGTTATAATGTTAAATTGATTGTTATAATATAATAAACAGTTTATGGATTAAAGCCAAAAAAAAAGAAAAAAGCTGTTAAAATGAAAAGCTGTCAATTTTATAACTGAGAATAACGAGAAAGACATTTTTATTAATACAAGTTTATTAAACAAGTTTATTAATATTAAGTTAACATTATATAATTTATTCATAAATGTTAAATTTTGTTCAACACGTTGCCTGCCATAGTGGAATTTGTAATACTTTCCGTTCCAGTTGTATCTTTGTATAGCCTGTAATGATTCATGTTTAATTTTTTTCAAAATTCCTCTTCTTACAAAAAAATAATTGCTAAAATATTATATATGCCGTCCAATATAACAATGTCAATGTGACTCGGTCAATATGACCGAGACGGTACCACAGTAACGTTAAAGTTCTCGGTCTGCAGGGTAATTTTTTTCTCGGTCAAATAAACCGAGACGATAGGCAACGTGTTAATATATTAATGTCTTTTAGGAGTGTTACCCAATATCTATGTTTACATATTTCTTCAATGGTATCCAAAAATGTGATTAAACCGCCTTTCCAATCGCATATAATTAAATGTGTGGCAATTTTGGGTTCTAAGGCATCTTTACTTGTAATGAGACAATTTGTAACCACTTAAATGGTAACTGACGATTCGTAACACCGTCAATTCGTAACACCAAAAATATGTAACTGAAACTATTCGTAATTTTACAATATCTGAATCAGTGTATAACTGATTCGACGCCATTTTCATTTACTTCCCCAAAAATATTTTTAAGAATTTTTCTCTAAAATATACCAAGAAGTCTTTCATCATTTTAAAGTCAGATAAGGTTCACGGTTCAGCCCCTTATATCAAAACCGGTCTTATTAAGGTATTGTATAATATGTTAAGCTTTACTACCACTACTACTGTTATATTCTTATTTTTTAGATGTTTCTGGAAACTGTGAACAGTTCTGTTTGCTATTGCTATGCATCTTTTTATTTCGTCGCTTGTTGCGTTTACTAGCAATTCAAGATATGTGAATTCTTCGACTTGCTTAAAGCTATAGTTACTAATATTTGAATTTTTAGAAACACGTACATATTTGGTTTTTTTCCTCCTTTATCACAAGTCCTAATTCACTTGCCTCGTCCGCAAGCCTTGTAAAACACTGCACCAAATCACTCATACTACTGCTTTCTATAACTGCATGATCAGCGAATGTGAGAATTTGCGTCAATTTCTTAAAAATAATTCCATTAGCTCTAATATTCATTTGTCTGATTTACTTTTTTAAGACAATGTTAAAGAGGAGACACTCCAATGCGCCCCCCTGTCTTAGATCATTAATAATGTCTTGTTAGTTCGGTCAACTTAACTTACTTGTGTGGGATCTTAAAGTCTATCGTTGCATTATATAATGCAGTTCTTTTCACACTGTTATAGGCTGCTTTAAAGTCAATGAAAAGATGGTGTGCATCTATTTTTATATTCTAGTTACTTTGCTAGAATCTATCTATGTGCGTTTCAACTCTGGTCTTTTCCATATTTTACTATGCATGCGAGACATGGACAGTCAAAGAATCAGATCGACGACGTATAGACGCCTTTGAAATGTGGACATGGAGACGCCTGCTTCGAATTCCATGGACGGCTCGCCGTACAAATATCTCGGTTCTGGATGAAATTAAACCGGATCAGCGTCTCTCTAGTACCGTTTACTCTAGAATTTTAAAGTTCTTTGGCCATATCCATCGAAGTGATCACAAAATGGAGCGGTTGGTGGTCCAAGTAAGGCCTCAGACTCAACGCCAACGCGGAAGATCACAACAGTGATGAGCGGACATTACTAAAAAGCTTCTCAATAAACAGTATACTGAGGCAATACATATAACTGATAACCGCGACCAGTGGAGAAATATTATCAATCAAACTGTCCGAGATGCTGAAGCCCAATTATGAATCACAACACATCTACTAAGATGTTAATGACTGTGATGATGATGATCTATGTGCTTAAATTTGATGTTTAGTTGACAGTACAGCAATAAATCCGCTTTGATATTGACCAACAATATTCTGTGTGAAATATTTAAGCCAATTTTGCATTATTGGATATAATAACTTCGAATCCTAAAGGTATTCTATATCGACCACGTTACTACTACTTACTAGGATGTTTTATTAAGAATACAAAAAGATGAGAAAGAAATAGTCAAAATCAAATACATCAGTCACCTTATGAAAAATAGCGGAAGGTGTGGGTTGCTGCAATTAGTTCTTTAAGGAAAACTAGAAGGAAAGCGAGAACCAAAAAGGCCAGGAATGGATACGCACCATAAGAAGAAAAAGGATGTAAAAGAATGCAAAAAAGACTAGACGACCAGTCAAAACAACAGAGATAAAATCACTTCGACGAATATCAGGGAAAAATCTGTTGGATAGGGAGAGAAGCAAAAACATAAAAAGTGCATACAATATAAAAGACATGAATTAATGGGTGACAAAACAAAAACAAAAGTGAAATGAACACATTAGCAAAATGGCAAAGGACAGGATAGTACGAATAGCATGAGATAAACCACCAAATGGACGTAGAAGTATTGGCAGACCAAGAAAAAGATGGTGTAATAATTTAAACAATTTAAAAGGATACCATTAAAGAAGAAACAGACTTTTAAAGATATATACAAAAAGGAAGAATAAGAAAAATACTTAAAACAGTATGTTGCTGCTAAAAAAATTGTAGTGGCCTTATTTTTGTTTAACAAAATAGCACTTGGTATAGATGCATCGGCACTTCTGTTACGAGACAAGTGCCAAAAGTCAGTTTGTAGGGTAGCTACTATGACGGCATTACCAAAGGGGCACTAATCTTATCTTAATTGCTGTTGGTTAGGTTTTGACGTTTGAGACGTTCAACAAATGGGGAGGGGAATCGAATATGTTAAGACATAAAAAAAAGAGACCTATTTACAAAAGGGCACTATATCGTATCTTCATTGTTGTTGGCCAGATTGAAGTATGTGGTACGTTAAATGAAATTGGATTGGATATCAATAAATTTTTAACAGAAAAACAAACATAAGACCATTGCCAAAGGAGCACTTTATTATAACTTTCTTAGTATTGGTCTGATTATGACATATGAATACATCTAAGTAAAAAATATACAACTAGGTGGTATGCCATAAACATCTTACACTTATTGTGACAATATGTTAAACCATGGAAAGTATCCAGGTATGCTAGTTTTACACAGCAACAAACATATACCGCACATAACAAACAGTTTTTTTGATTGTTAACTATCTTATACCACTTTAAAAATTGTAAAAAACTTATTACTAAAGATTATTAATAAGAACTTATTACTTATTATTAAAGCAAGCTGAGCAACTATTTAGAAGAGCTCGAGACAGAGACAGTTTCGCCATGTTAATCGCCAACGTCAAGGGGACTTGATAGGGCACGTTAAGAAGAGAAAAAACTTATGAAACATGGCTTTGATAATTGTACATCATAATCTATATTTTTCGAGTAATCTGTACGTTTTTTTTATTTTTTTTATAGGCATTTAAAGTTTTTTAAACTCTCAAATCAACTTGAATTTTCAACAAACCCTTATTTTCATTCAAATATGTTAATATTTTGTAATAAAATTTGGTAAATCTTCATCTTTTGTAATTTTAAACATTACCCCAAAATTTGGAGACAAAACCACAAGATATCTAGAAAAGAAAAGAACTCATATAGAACTATAGCTTCAGAACAATAGAAAGAAGAGGACTCGTTTCAAAGCGATCATAGTCTAGTATTAGTGGATTAAAAATAAAGTATTTGCTTTGATCTAGATGCTCTAATTTTATTATTTTTTTGCGACTAAATCCATAGTCTACATTTTATACGACTTTTACTATTAATTACTAAGACTATTAATAGAATTTCTCGAGTTAAAATACCAATTGGTAGTTGCTTTAGGAACAAAAATTCGGCCACTTGAAAAAAACAGACTACTTGACTAAAATATTTTGTTGTATGCATAATACTCTCACTAATCGACCCTAATTTTGACTTTAGTTAACATATATGAGATAACATTGTAATTTATTGTAATAATATAAAAATATTTAAAATATGTAAAGAATTTTATACTTTACTTTATCTTTGCTAAATTATTTGATTATCTTAATCAAAAGTATTTACAAAGCAAAACAAAAAAATGTCAAAATATTTTCTTAAGTATTTCGTTTAAGATATCGAATAAGCCAAAAAGTAGATCAATAATTGATTACTCAAATAGCTGGATAAATGAATTGTAGCAGGTACCTCTAGATTGCACCCATAAGACTAATAGTTATTATGTCCTTTCCTCGTCTTCTGCGGATATCAATCTTTGCAGTCATTTCTTAAATGATAATATAATATATAATTTGAAACAAGATAAACCAAACCCGATGAAACACGCACAACTACATGAATATTTTTTTTTGTTAATTAAAAAAAATAATTTTTTTCACGTTTTTGTGAACATTTTTAATTTTTATTTTATATCAACATATTTTTTACTCTTTTGCAACTTATGCAACTTTTTAGAAGAGGTCACAAACAAAAATAGTCTGATTTAGAAACTTACAGCATTATATTCTTTTCTATTTGTTTTATTTGCTGTTATTTTTAGTAAAAGTTTATATCTTTTTGGGGTTGTGATGATTTTTAAGTACGGTTCTAAAGCTGTTGCTGCATTTTTTTTTGTTTTTTTTTTCAAGGCAAGTCAAATTTATTGATCACATACGACATTATACAAAGTACATGCATGAGACAAGTTAAACTTACAGACATACATCTTAAAAGTATATAAATTAATAAACACGATAAAACATACTTAAAAGCTGGTTTTAGAGTATGGCTCTAGCTTACAAATGTATTGATGTACACACCTCCGAAAGTTTGGCTGGTGTAGATTCATTAGTATATTTATTGGTAATTTGTTAAATAAACTTATGGCTGCATAACGTGTGCTACCTTCCAACAAAAGAGAACGATGTTGTGGAAGCATAAAGTGATTGTCGCTGAATCTTGTTGAATAAACATGGTTAAATTGAAATTTATTAAATTCATAAATTTTGCTATGTAAACACATTATACACGAAAATATATACAGACCAGGAAATGTAAGAATATTTTTTTGTCTAAAGATGTCTCTACAAGAATCTCTAAATTTCATTTTATACAATATTCTAATAGCTCTTTTCTGAAGTACGAATATCAGCTCTAATCCAGAGGTAAAACCCCAGTCTTATTTGGCTATTGAATAAAAATGTGCAAAGTATACTGTTTCTAATATTGCTGTATGAAAGAGACGTGAAAGAATTCTCAATGCATAACATGCGCTACTTAATCTGGATTTCAAATTAGAAATGTGGTTTGACCATTACAATTACTGTCCAGAAGTACCTTCAGCAACTTAGTGCAGTCTGTTTTGTCTATTGATGCTTCTATAGTGGCTTTATGGTTTAATAAATTATTTGACGTGAAAATCATTTTTACGTGATTTTTCCTCATTCAAAACTAATTTGTTGAATAAGAAATAACTGTTGATGGTGGATAGTATCTGTGTAGTTTTATTTTGCAAATTTTGATCAGACCTTCCTGTGACTTAAATGTTGGTATTATCGGTATAACTGATGATGTTAACCCCAGTCAGTGAATTAGTTACCAAAGCTATATCATTAATGAATACTATAAAAAGAAGAGGACCCAATTCACTACTCTAAGATATACTATATTGGATATCCAATGTGTTTTATTTATTTGACTTATTTATAAGATCATTAGATGCTATCTTTACTTTCCTGTAATCCCCTCTAGTTTTATTACCAACAAATTATGATTCAAAGTGTCAAAAGCTTTGGAAAAATCAAGAAATAAACCGCCTGCCTTTTCTTTTTTCCAAAGCATTCAACACTAAGCTGATGAAATGTGCAAGAGCTGTAGTTGTAGACTTAGAAGATGTAAAACCATGTTAAAAATTATGCAAGATACTATGCTTTTTTAGGAATGCGTTTATTCTTGTATAAACCAGAGTTTCAATTATCTTTGAAAACACAGATAAGAGTTTTATGGGACGATAGTTTTTAAGGTCATCTTTATCACCACTTTTGAATAAAGGTATTACAAAAGATAGTTTAAACATACTAGGAAATATTCCTTGTTGAAAAAAGGCATTACAAATATCCGTCAGTGGATCTGCGAGAGCATTACAAATATCCGTCAGTGTTTTAATACCTTATGGGAAATCTAATCAAAACCACAACTGTGGATTTAAAACTTCCGACTATACTAGTTATTTTCTGTGGGTTAGTTGAATATAAAAACATAGAACAGCTATTACGGTTTTTTGATGTTGATGTAAACTCACCTATTTTAGTAGGATCCAAAGCGGCAAGTAACTTTGGAGCCATTTCAACAAAATAGTGGTTAAATTTGTCTGCTAAATTTGGTACTTTTGAGTTTTGTTGATTGTTTGTTCAATGCCTTTTTTTATTCTTCTGTAGTAGAAGTTTATATCTTTCTGGCCTTTGTGCTATTTTTAAGTATCGTTCTGCTGCTGTTTCATCTATTAAATTTGCATATTCTATTTCTTTTTGGTCATTTAATTTGCTTTGCTGCTAACTGAAATTCTACTTTCAACGTAGTAAGTCGTAGTATGCCAAAATTCACATAGAAAAATGCCCAAACGCACCATAAAAATGTAGACGATCGCCTTCAAGATAGTACAAAAGTTAATGTTTGTCACTTAATTGCAACTGCTAAATTAATAAACAAAAACAGGAAGAAGTCTCAACTTAAAAGAAAGACAAATAGGACGGATATATTTGAATTGCATTAGTATTTAGTCTACTGCTAGAACTTGGAGCCTCATCTAAATCGCTTTCGTTCCTTATTTCTTGTTATTTGATTGCTTAAAAGTATTTAAAAATAAATTTTCAAATCCAAATATAATTTTAAATTAACAAATATTTTATAAAACTACGATAAATTATTCTTATTATCGCTGACATACATCAAAACATGTAATAAGATAGTGCAGAGTATCATCATTTAAAACAAGGTTATTATTCAAGTGGTTATTTTTTTCAAGTGGTTGACTTTCAGTATATAAATCTGAATCGCCATCGCACTGCACATTATTGTGAAATATACGCAATACTTTTCAACATGAAAACCATATTGATTTTGGCAGTTTTGAGTTGCGTTGGTAAGCAAATTTTTTATTTTTGATAAATGTAATTTCTGTACATTGTATTACCAAGTAGTATTAGTTATTAGTTTATATTCCCAATATTTTTATCTGTGTATATTTATTGGTTGTATTTTTACAAACAGGATATAATTGGTGTCCATTGTAAGAATACCAAATACTTCGACTACCAAATAAAACGACTTAATTGCCATCAGAATCCAGAAAAAGAAAATTAAAATCAGATTATAAATAATTAATATACAACTAAACATAAATTTTGTAGTTATTACCTTTAAACAATTGCCTTATAAAGCTTCCAAACGATGACAAACCAATTGTAAAGTCTCTAAAGTGTGATGCACTTTTCTAAGAAGGAAACTTTGAAATGATGGCTAATTTTGTGAAAATTAGTTACCAATCCTTCTTGCGAGTTAAAATCATAACTAAATTAACTGAAAAATATATATGTTAATCATATTCAGTAATTATGGATTTAATATCGTTGAAATGGATCGATGTTATTACAATGCAATTACCAAATAAAATGTGGACACTGGCAACTGACTTTAAGACTTTTATTTCTTAACAAATTTAAATTTTTGTTTTATAAGCCTATTTTAACACAATTTTTTTTATTTTTTCTTGTTCTGCATGTGCCAACTCCTTGAAGAAATTTGGCAGTCTTCGCCAAAAAAACGTATTTCGAACTTCACTACTCTTAACAGCTTTATGGAGCTATCTAAACATAGTTAAGGTATTCAACCACAAAACACGTCTCTCTTAGTCCTAATTGTTATATAATTACTAAAAGCAGTTTCACCTCTCAAAGCATATGGTAAATACTGTTATGATTAAATTTTATTGATATATTTAATATTTTTCTTTATTTTCTTATTGTTATTGAAACTTTCAGATAAAATCCACTTCACTTATTCTTAACATTCTTATGTAATCCCATAATTAGAATGCTTCAAGTGTGTCTGTAATACATTTCTTTAGATTTCGCGCTTTCATCTTCTTCTTAGAATGCCGTCTACGAAGGTTGGCAATCATAATACTGTTCATCATAATACTATTTTTAGTTCCCAAATATTTATATCTTTGGACTTACTTTATTTGCTTACCATGTATTTCTTATTTTCAGCTCTTACCGTTTACGCCAAAGAGTCTGATCATGAGCCTACTCGTGAGCCTACTCGTGAGCCTGAACCTGAGCCTGATAATGAGTAAGTAGCAATGTAAAAACAATAAATTACTTGTAAAATTAAACATGATTCACTAGGTATTATATATAACTTTTTTTTCTTTCCAGATTTGAGTGCGACGCCTGCATAACATTCGCCACTGTAATTAAAGATTACGTCGAAGAGAAAATTCCATTGGTAAGTTTTATAAGCATTTTTTACTATACCTTTTCTATCAGTACATATTAAATTTATTAAATTCAATAAACAGACACTAAAATCAATGTTTCATCACTTCAATACTTCAGTTTCAAAAGCAATTGGAAACTTACGAGAATGCCTTAATTCTTTATTAAAGTAACACACCTATAGTAATAACAGTTTATCATCCAGTTAGTTTTAAAGTCACTTTTACTGATAATTGTTTTGTTACTTAAGCACTTTTCTAAGTATTTTTATAGATTTCGGTGGTAAAGCCACTACAAGAAAAAAATTGGTTGTCTTGTATCTTATCTTTGATCCTAGCGCTATTAGCATGCTTTGTACGTTAACTTAGAATGGTCTGTTTTTATATTATACGAGTACATAATACAGCTCAATATATCCTGCTCATATTCCATATATAGTTCATTCACAATTTTTTTATTTCTAAAACATCATTATTGTAAATATCATTACAAAGGGCCTCAGCTACTAATCTCTTTCTATAAAAATCAAAAATTTTAAAATTACCAAAGTTCTATATTTAACACAAAAGAAAAATAAACTATTTGTTCTTACAGGACGAAATTGAGCGGGACGCAGACAGATTATGCAATGTCTTACCTAATGAATTGAGAGAGTTCTGCGATCACGAGTTGCTTCCAAAAGTCGACAAGATCTTCGAAGAGCTGCTCAAACATTCACCTGATGATGTATGCGAACATTTGCACTTCTGTGGCAAATAAGTTTTATAATAATTATATAAATTAATTTTTTAATGTGTAAAATAAATTATTATTGAAAATAAATCTTTTTGTTATAATAAAAGCAAATGTTTAACTTTTTTGCATTATATATCATTCGAGCAGATTGTGACCATAAGCAGAAATAAAATACGTGGTTTCATATGAACAATAAAAATTGTACAGTCTTTTATTTATAAGTACTTCAAATCTATACACAATGAACGCAGAGTGTTTACTAAATATAGCAGATCTAATAAATTCTTGAGGACCGGCCCTGGCAAGGTATGGATAAGTCATACTGATACTGAACTCCTAGTTTTTAATAAAAATAAGTAGTTTTATTAAACAGTTTTTTAAAATTTAAATATTTATCTAGTAGATATTACTACGTAAGTCATCTATACGTAATTATTATTTTATTATTGTGAAAAGAAAACGTCAAATAATAAATATATACTACCGTACAATCATTTTTTTAGTTCAGCTGCGATAAGTAGCTTATAGTAGCATGCGGTTGGTTTGTCATTTACCAGAGTCGGAGTAAGGCCTTCGCCGCCGCAGCTTAAAATGACTTTACACAATGTAAACACACCTTTCGATTTAACCAGTCCAGTATAGCAACGTTCGAATATCACAAATAGTTATGCATCAGCCACTTAACATTCTATTCCGAGTAAGACACAAGCAATTGTATTTAGTTGTATCGATAATGCTAAACTGCAGGAGTATCTCATTGCTTTGGGCACAATCATGAACCCAAAAAATCTTATTTATTCATCCAGATTATCTCATAATTAAATCTACATGTATTTGTCAAACAAAACCGTAGTAGATAACTGCATGACAAAACATGACTCCATTGAAGTACTCAGCGAAGTTGTAACAGCACAAAGACTTGGCTGGAGTCTGCCCGTTAATTCCTTATCAAGTATTAGTTGAAGAATTACAGAATATCAATTTAAAGCTTATTTTCTTAACAGTTTAAAAACAGAATTAACTTATATTAAGTAAAACAATGAAGTACCAAATCAAACAGCTTTACCAAGTATACTATACAAGATGCCAAACACCCAGCAGTCATCAAGTTATCCATTATCAAATCCGAGCATATCACCTACACCTACAAATCTCCATCACAAAGAAATTACTAATACTCCTACTAATAGCAACACTTCCAATCAACCTCATTCAGCGGCAATACCGTTTTCACAAACTTCGAAAGCAATATCTTTCAATGTTTCTGCTCCTTTTCCATAAGATATAACTGCAGAAAATTCTAATAAAACTGATACATCACCACAATCTTCTTAAACAACCATTTCTACCAATCTTACAAATAAAATTTTAAGCTCGACTTCTGTCACTACCAATGAGTTTGCTCCAGTACTTTCAAATGTAATATAGCCACAATATCTAAGTGAAATCTCTAATAGCAATTGCGACAACGTAAGATCTAAAACACAGTATTGGTGAGATCGTCACACCTCCTTCAGACTCAGCAATTTTATCAGAATATCTGTTTGCAAAACACAAATTCTCTAAATAAAAAAACACGCTCATCTAATGTCCCATTTGTACGAAAAACTCTTGAAAATTCCATTGATATAATCATACTTCACCATTCGTTTAAAATTGCCACCAATTGACCTTACTAATTAATAATGTCCAAGGCTCCCCTGACACTATTAGCGTCGTCAGAAAATTTAACTGATTGGGCTGGTTTACTCCATCTTTTACAAAGCAGCTATCAATATGCAAATGCAAGTTTACAAAAGTTCAAAAGAAACTACACAAATATTTAGGGAAAAAAATTTCTGACTTAGATAGTGACTGTTCTGGAGACAATTGTTCAGTATCATGTAACTCCAAATCTGTTAACAACATTCAACTCGATACTTCAATGGAACATTAATGGATTGTTTCAACGTTTTTCTTTGCTACAGCTACTTTTATGTGAATATTCTGCAGATAATATTTGTCTACAGGAGACAAACTTTAAGACCAATCAGTTGTACAATTTAAAAAATTTCACATATATCCGCAAAGACCGTGCAGATGCAAGTTGTGCAAGCGGTGGTGTAGCAAAACTAGTAAACAAATCCATCGATTATAATAAAAGTCTTAGTTATTCTTAGGGGCTTTCCAAACTACACCTGTATCCAGCATTTATGCTCTTTTAGGAGAACCATAGCTACATCACCGCCGCAGGTATCTCGCTCTATCATATGCAGTCTCAGTTGCTTGCAATATTTCAAAGCCAATATATCAAAACACTTTTACAAATAAATATGTTAACTTATTCTAAGATATTTGCTATACTAAAAACCATATTACGAAACAATTACATTCATTCTTCTTTCAAAACCTAAACATTAATTTTCCGGAGGTTTTCTCCTCGGATATTAAATACTCTTAGCTTTGGCTGATCGATATACCAACTTCTGATGCATTTCTAGAGTATTTAGATAAATTTAATACACACAATTCTCTGATTCGGTCCAAGTTTGAGGCCCTCATAAATAAGTACCCCGACTACCATAAAATTTACACAGATGCATCTAAACCCAAAGATGTAGTGGGAGAATCAATCGCTTCTTTAGAAAAAAATCTTCTTTTCCGTTTATCCCCATCATGTAGCACATATTCAGCTAAACTATGTGCCATATACCGTGCTGTGAAACTTCTTAACTAGTTTACACTCACAAAAGCCCTGATCATAACAGATTTCCTTAGCTATCTCAACTCATTAAAACACATTTTTGCGAAACATCCTTTTAAAAAGTTGCTAAAATACCAACTTTCCCAAGCTCATGAACATCGACGTAACATCCAATTTTTATGAGTTCCTCACACGTTAAAATAACAGGAAATGAAGAAGCTGACTGGACTGCACAAGAGATAGTTTTAAGTGATTTGTCGAAGCCGATAGACAAGTGACTAAATACTTATTGATGCTAAATGACTTATTTTAAAAATAAAGTGTGGTGTTTGTGACGAAATGAATAGTCTTATACTAATTCCAATTAAAATTAAATCAAAAAGAATGTGTCTTAGTGGTTACCATCGTCGGGCAATAGAAGTGATGATGATGATGATGATCTTACGCTCGAATATTCCAACAAGTCTTTCATTCTTATGCGTTAAAGTCCGTGTTTTTGCCCCGTATGCAAGAACCGGTCGCAGCAGAAAAAGAAAGAGAAAAAGAGGAACTAATAAAACGTGAGGGAAAGTGTATATCCTAGGATATAAAATTAAAAAAATATATATATTTGAAATACTAACAAAAACAAGACGTAATGTTTTCTTTTTAATAAAAACAAAAAATTATTTTATTTAAAAATTTTATTTTTTATTTTAAGTCCCTAACAGAAGTCCAAATGTCCGCATACTTCCTGAGGTGTATGTTTGTGTAGCTCTTCAAAGATTCTGTCGGTTTTTGGAAGCAACTCGTGATCGCAAAAATCTCTTAATTCACCTGGTAAAATGTTGCATAGTACATCTGCGTCTCTTTCAACTTCGTCCTGTAAGAATAGAAAACTTAATTGTATGTAAAATAAACTTAAAAAATTTATGAATTATAAATTATAATTATAAATTAAAAATTAAACTAATTAATTTGTAACTGACTATGGTTTTCACAATAAAAAGGTAAACAAAAATTATTAATACAAACAAATAGAGATATAGAAATGACTCCAAAAACCCTAATTAATTTACACATCATGCAGCATAATCAAAATATTTGAGAAAAAATAGATATAGAACAGCATTGTAAATTTAGGTATTAATAAAAAAATCTGATACATTATAAGAAAACTACAAACTTGAGATAGTCAAAAGTTGAAACGTGTCTTCCCATGTAAAATCCTATTAGAAACGCTTGTATTGATTCTGATCATTTAGACTAATTTTTGGTGAATTCGCCTTCACCAAAATATTAGTCGTTCCATTAGAGAATATTAATAATACTAATATAAGAACAGAAATAAAATGTTTCTCTATTTATGTTCAATATAAAGCTTTAGTTCAATATAAAGAACATAGTACAAGACGTTACAGTTATAAACATGATTTCCGTAGAAAGTGATCACAGAATTGTTAGAGCCAAAATCAAAATTAACTCCACAACAGACAGACAAAAATTTAAACCCTCTAAAAAAGAGATATATACAGAACTTCTTAAAGAACGCAAAGAACAATACATAAACCAGCTAAAACGAAGTGACATATCACAGCTAAAGGGTTTGCAACTAGACGAATTAAACGATAAAATAACAACAGAACTACTAGAAGCAGGCCTGAAGATTGCTAATAAACAAAAGCGAAAACAACAAAAAATTAGCGCTAAATTACAAGATATGCTAAAAAAACGACGACAACTACTGAATTATAACAAAAGAAATACAGTGGAGTTTAACAAACTGAACAAAACCATAAGAAAACAGATAAAGAAAGATTTAAAGAAATACCAAAAAGACCGGATTAAGAAAATCATAGATAAGAACAAAAGTTTAAAAACAATGAAGACAAATACAGGAAAAAGAAAACTAATCATGCTTAAAGCTAAGAACAATAAAGAAAGAGATCTAGGAGAAATAGTAAAAATCACAGAAAGATATTACATAGACCTTTACAGTTCTAAAAATAACCCACCACTATCATCTAAATAGAATCTCTCGAGGAAAATACAAAATGTTGGCTCAGAGGTATTACCAGAAATATCTGAAGATGAAATCGAAAAATCCGTAAACGACATGAAAAGAAATAAAGCGGCCGGTGAGGACAAAATACTGGCGGAACTGCTAAAAGAAGGAGGAGACACGATAAAAAAATGCTAAAAATACTGTTCAACAAATGTCTGTTTGAAGGTAAAATACCTAAACAATGAAGAAATGCCAACACAATCTTAATACATAAGAAAGGAGACCGAACAGACCTAAACAACTACCGTCCTATTTCCCTTTTGGCACAACTATATAAAACCTTCACAAGAATAATAAACAACCGACTAACCTATAAACTTGATAACTACCAGCCAGTAGAACATGCCGGATTCAGTAAACGATACAGCACAATCGAACATCTACATGCGCTTAAAATCTTAATTAAGAAAACCAATGAATACAACCGTAATTCTGGACGACAAATTAATAAAGGATACCTTGACCCTCGAAGACATAATAAAATCAACAGATTGGAAAAACAGAGGAATATGATCTCCTGATCTCCTCGGAATGACAAGAACTGGAATTAATGCTGAATAAACTTCATGAAAAATCACTGAAAAAGGCCTAAGAATTAACTTCAACAAAACAAAAGTAATGACAAACACGGAATACCAAGAGACAATAAAAATAAAAACAGAAAAAATAGAACAGGTAAATGAGTATATCTATCTAGGACAAGCAATCAGAGCTAACAGAAAAAATCAAACAGCCGAAATATCGAGACGAGTAAGAATGGGATGGGCAGCGTTCGGCAAACTTTCTTACGTTTTAAAGAATCAAACAATCCCTCTATACTTATGAAGCAAGGTATATAACTCCTGTATAATACCGGTACTCACCTACGGAGCACAGACATGGATATTTACATAGGCCAATTTGGATAGGATAAGGAAGGCACAAAGAGCGATGGAGAGACAAATGTTGGGTGTATCACTTAGAGATAGAAAACGTAACCAATGGATCAGAACCAGAACAAAGACAGTAGGCGCGATAGAACAAGCAGCAAACTGAAATGGAAATGGGCTGGACACAATGAACGTCTTTAAAACGGACGATGGAACAATGCCATCGGAAAGGAGGTCCCACATGGCAGAGAACAGCTCAAGATAGGGAAAGATGGATAGAACTGGGGGAGACCTATATCCAACAATGGAAGGATAGAGAATAGGTTAAAAAAAAAGCTTTAGTAAAAATCTGTGTCTAGTATAGTCTCTATGGTTTTTAAAATAATTGTTAAATATGAATAATAAATTAAGCATTCAGGCACACAAATTTTCACACACAAAGTATACACTCAAGTTATACACAAGTATAATTCACTTCTCATTAATCTTACCAATGGTAATCTCTCATCGACGTAATCCTTGATAACAGTTGCAAAAGTTATGCATGAGTCGCAGGCAAATCTGTAAAAAAAATACTTTTTCTATTATTTGAATTAAATCACATTATTAGACTTAAGACTATGGTGGTATTATGAACGTTTCAATTTACCGTATTTAGTAATAAGTTCACTAAATGTTTTATTATAATATGGTTAAACATTTCGTGAGCCTTTTAGATATAATATTCATTATTTTATATACGTTAAATCTTTGTTAAATTTAACAATTTATAATTAAGTTTTTTGTCTGTATATAGGCCACCTAAAGTCCGTACTTCTAAAGATGATAACAAAAATACCTTTTCTCAAGTTACATCACCTTGTATAATTTAAGGGGATATGAATGCTCATAACTCATTATTGGGCTCACTGCACAATGATGCTGTAGGTCATTAAATCGTCAGCAGTGTCGAGGATCTAGATTATATTATTTTAAATAATGGGGAACCCACCTATCTTCCCACATACGGTAATCAGAAATCTATGATTTCTCTCTGTACAGCCAATGTAGCCAATAAAGTTACCTAGTCCGTCTATTCAGATATTTTAGGGTCAAATCATTTTGCTATAACTATCCACCTTTCCACATCTAACACATCACATAAAACAATTTATCCAAAAAGCAAATGGAATATCAATAAAGCCAATTAATCACTTTATACATCTTTAATAGAAAAAATGTTTGTAGTAGCTCTTTAAACACTTATATCAATATGAAAATTATAATTTTCATATTGATTGTAATAATGAATCTGCTTCAAAATCTATCCCTCAATATAAAATTTTTTAACTTAAAAATCGTCTCGCACCGCTGGTGGGACCCTGAATGTGATATAATAATTAAAGAAAGCAAAAAGGTATTTAAAACTTACAAACTTTCATCGACTTTTGATAACTACTTAAAATGTCAGGAAGTTACTGCTCGAAAAAAAGCAGTTGAAGCAAAAAGTTAAATCCAGTTGGATTAAAATGGTACTCCAATTTAAACAAAAATACCTCTTCTAAGCAAATATGGTCACAGACCAACAAACTAAATCGAAAAATGCAGAATAGTATAAAACCGATCAGCAATGAAGTTTTATAAAACTTCTTTAATAAAGTTTCTCCTCCCTGGGTTCAATATTTCTCTAACCAATCCGAACAAAGTCACCAATCTAATCATTTTTGTTAAAACCTTCTACTAATTCTGAATAGGATTTCGCTCTCAAAAATTGCAATAATACCTCCCCAGGGCTTTTTTTCAACCTATTCTCTATCCTTCCGTTGTTGGATATAAGTCTCCCCCAGTTCTCTCCACCTTTTCTTATCTTTAGCTATTCTCTGCCATGTGTCATCTTTCCACCTCATCTGTGGTCTGCCTCATGATCTCTTTGCATTGTATTAACGCCACTTTCCGATGGCATTGTTCCATCGTCCGTCTTGGAGACGTTCATTGTGTCCAGGGCTAGATAATATCAAATACCCTATGTTAATCAACCTACCAAGAGACGCTAAAGTGCGTAAAACAGTGCAAACTAAAAAATTCCTCAGTTTACAATCTGTGGTTTTTACTTACTCATTGTCAGGCTCTGGTTCTGGCTCATGGGTTCTTTGGGCGTAGGCGGTAACACCTAAAAGCAGATAATTGTTGTAGCATATTAAATAACTATTTATTTAACAATAAAATACTGAAAACTTTGTTTTCAAACTTCCACAAAATTTATTTTAACTATTATCAATACAGCTGTTTCGGCTAATTGCCTTTCTCAAGTGGTCTATTATTGGCATGCGTTTACAATTTATAGTCTCTAATGAAATAGGTTGAGGAGGGGAGAACTGTTTGTCTCAAGTTGGTCATTCAGAATTATATCTGTATTTTTTAATTTATTGATTTCCATAGATTCTAACAAAGATAGCTTAAGGCCTTTATTTTGAATGTGAAGTATTTTAAATTTGTCATTAAAAGAATTATTATGATCTAGAAGGTGAAGTGCGTATGTCGAATCTGTTTTTCTATTATTGAAAGCCCTTTTATGTTCTGCTATTTGTTAATTAAAGTTTCTACTAGTTTGACTAATGTAAGTTTTTGGGCAGTCGCCACATTGAAGTTTGTACACACCAGTATTTAAGTGTTTTTTATTTTGGCTCTTTTTATTTTAAATATATTTGCCTTGGTTGTTATTTGTTCGGAAAGCTGGTGTTATTCCTTTCTTTTTTATGTGTTTGGCTATTTTTGTTGTTATTTTGCCTGTATGTGTAATTGAGCAGAAGGTACTTGGTGTTTTGTCTGGTGGTGGAAATACTAATTTCAGGGCTTTCTTGTGTAGTTTCTGATTTAACATTTTATTAATTGTTTGTTCGTTGTATCCGTTGTTTACTGCTATTTGCTTAAATATATTTAATTCTATCTTAAAGTTGTATTTTGACATCAGAATTTCTGTTAATTTATGTAATATACTATGATAAGCTGCCAGTTTATGTTGTGTTGGATGGGATGATGAATTGTGTATAGTCGTGTCAGTATGTGTAGGTTTATGAAATATGGAGAAGTCATGTTTGTTTTTAAGTCTGATAATTTTTAGACTTAATCAGACTTAAAAACAGATGATAATAGTTAAAATAAATTTTGTGGAAGTTTAAAAAACAAAGGTTTCAGTGTTTTATTGTTACATAAAATAAATTTCCATCAAGTAAAGGTCAAATCCATCAACTATTTATTTATTCTTGAATAAAAAACATACACATAAGTGACACTTAGAGTGTTAGATATCTGTTTGTTAAGAAAAGTACAGGATAGAGGTGAATTTACAGTATTAATTGCAAATATTTATTGGAGATGGTATACATAGTGGCCCAAAAATTTCAAAATGGCCAATTATCTTGTAAATTACGAGGCATAATTATACAAAATTTGAGGTTCACCAATTTTGGGATACGGAGATTTCATATTTGATATTTGCAATGATGCCAGATTTGCCGTTTCTCTTATATTATTAACACATTGTAACTACAAAACACCGTAGATAACATAAATCTAAACAAAAATATCGTATTTGGCGATCTTAATGCATGGATCGAAAACGATGTCATAACAGGTATAAAACAAAAGTATAAGGAACAAATATTTAATGAAAACGGCGAAGCATTAATAAGCTTTTCCATTAGAAATGAAATGAGAATCAACACCACATACTTGCCTTATCAAGATCAACATAAATACGCTTTTAACAATCATCGAGGCCAACAACAGAGTCGCTAGCAACAAAGAGTACAAAACTCCTTTATGAGAATAGAATTACCAGCAAACTAAAAAAAATCGAGTTACAACTAGAATCGAAAGTAGAAGATACTTGGCAAAAAATGAAGAAATCCATTAACCAAAAAGCAGAAGAAGTAATTGGAAAGTGGAAAACTAACAGGGCTATAAAAGACGCCAAATCGTGGTTTTTTCAAAAGGTAAAAGAACTCTCTGAATTAAAACGCAAATGCTACCTGAGATATAAAAGCACAAAATCGAAAGAAGCTCTAGCAGAATATGTCCAAGTAAGAAACGAAACGAAGCAAACGCAAGAAAAAAATCAATCAAAACATATGGCATAGAAGTGCGCGAAGATACCAACAAAACGAGACAGATGCTAAGGTTTGCCGAAATGAAAACCCTAAGAACAATAGTGGGCAAAACAAGAAGAGACAGCGTGAGAAATACAAACGTTAGAGAGCAGAGCAAAATTCAAGATGAATGAGAATAGACTCCCAAAAATTGCCTTAAAAAACCCGCCTGGTTCAAGACCTCCCTGCAAAAGATAGAGGGGTAGTTGGTACCTCCTAGAAAATTAACCATAAGTAGTTTCATAAATAAACAAATCAAAAGATCTCCAAGAAGTGGAAGAAGAAAAAGTTTGAATTTTTATATATTAAGAGTATTAAGTTTCAAAACCTGAGAGGTTCAGTTTATTAACTTTGTAACCCAAGTTTAAAATCTTTAGTCAACATTACACAAATAAAAAACTAATTACTGTATAAAAAACCAAATATTACTAGTAAAAAATTCTAAAGCAGTGTAAAAAATATCTTTACTTACCGATGCAAAACAAAAGAGTCAAAACCAATGTAGTCTTCATGATTAAGAATTGTATTTCACAATGATATGGACTGTCGGTATAGCTTTATATATATGTAAAGTCAGCTACTTGATCCAAGGACGACTTACATATTATCTTCTTCAGATTATTGAGACTTAATACTATTTTTTTTAATTTATTAACTTTGATTTACTTAAAAGATAATTTGTAGCAATAAAAAATTATTTAATGAATGATAATACTTCTTTGGAGCAAAACAAACATTTTGATTTGGTTATTGATAGTAAGTAATTTGCATTGTAAATGATTTACTCTTTATTGATTCTTTAATTAAAGACATTTAAACATATACTATTAAATAAAAAAGTTGTTTACACTGTTTTTAAGTTTTATTAATCAGTAAAGCTTTTGTTTAAATTATTTATTTATTTATAAATATTTTTCTAATAAGGATTTACAATTTACAATATTACAATATTATTGGTATATATTTATAGCATTAATTTATAAAGGACAACCAAAAAATATTTAAAATCCAGAAAGGAATTACTATATGAAATACTATATCGCTTAACATTATCAGATGCATAACTGGGTGCATCTTGGGGAAGGAATTGCAAAACGGTTGCTGCCTGTCCTCGAAGCAACACCACCAAAGAAGCTGCCATTTTTTTTTCATTCCAGCTATTTGCTCTAGCTGCAGCTTCAAATTGAAAACCATAAGTTTCCCATAGTTATAATTGTATCTAGTTCAATTATAAAAGGCTATGAAGCTGTTTGTTTCAATTCGATGTTAGTTATTGAAACATTAGATAAAGAATCTTGGATATTAACTTTTTTTCTAACTTAACTATTTGTATTTGTAAATTAGATTTCAAATCATATTGTTGTTGTTCTATTTTATTTTTAAAATTGTTTTGTTTCTCTTCTAATTTATCTATTCTACTAGTGATTTGACTTACCTCTAACTGAAAATTTTCGTAAATTTGGGATAAACCATTTATGATTTCTACCTCTATTTTTTACGCCTCTCTTTTTCCGATGATATTGAACTACTTCTTCTTTTTCGTCAAGGGACTTTTCCTATGTGGGATAAATCTTTCGTAACAATACCTAATTCTTTCTCACTTTCTGCTCTCTCTTACCTATAGCATTATATATGTAATGATTGTGCAAATTAATTCTTATATACTCTCTGAATTAAAAAGCAAATGCTACCTGAGATATAAAGGCACGCAATCGAAAGAAGCTCATGCAGAATATGTCCAAATAAGAAACGAAGTAAACGCCAGAATAAAATCAATCAAAAGAGAACATTGGGCCACATTCACTTGGCGACATGGACTACGACCTATATGGTGCCCAAAAGGAAGTATGGAAAATGCTCCGCAACAGGAAAAAACCAGTTAACGAGTTCGTGCAGACCAAAGGAGTACCTATAGAGACATGGCAACAGCATTTTAAAGAGCTATATGATGCTGAAGAAACGCTGAATATAAACGAAGGCGACACAGATGTGAGTGCTACAATCAATGACGAAGAAGTAGAAGCAAAGGTCAAAAAGCTAAAAAACAGAAAATCACCGGGAACGGATGGTATACCCAATGAACTTTTAAAATATGGAGGCCCGGAACTTGCAAGTAAACTGGCACAACTATTTAACAAAATATTAAACAAAACAGAAACACCAGAGGAATGGCATAATAGTATCACAATCCCCATATTTAAAAAAGGACAAAAAACCTGCCCACAAAACTATAGAGGAATAACCCTCTTAAATACAACAGTGAAACTTTTCACGGGTATTCTCAAGGATAAATTGGAAAAGCAAATCACTAATGCTGAAGAACAAGGTTTTACAAAAGGGCGGTCTATAACAGACGCAGTATTTATAATAAAACAAATAAAAGAAAAAGCTATAGAGTTCGGCATGCCAGCGTATATTTGCTTCATTGATTTGACGAAGGCATTTGACAGAGTTCGCCTGGGAGACATTCTAAATATATTAATAGAAAATAAAACACCGACCAGTATAACAAAGATACTCCATAACCTAAATAACAACAACGTAACCAAAGTTAGAGCAGGAGACGAATTCACTGAAAATATTCCAACACCGGGAGGAATTAGACAAGGCGACAGTTTAAGCCCCTTCTTGTTTAATCTTCTCATGAGCAAAATTATCAACAAAGTAACATCTCTTAACCTCGGATATAGAATGGGCAACAAAAGAATTGGTATGGTGTGTTACGCAGACGATGCAGCAATTATTGCCGAATCAGAAGATGATCTCCAAAGGCAGCTCTTCCAGTTCTTTCAAACAAGCCGACTATTAAATATGAACATCTGTACCAACAAAACTAAATGTATGACAATAGCAAAAGATCCGCTCAGATGTAAGTTAGTGGTTGAGGACAACCCCATAGAACAGGTGATGCAATTCAGATATCTGGGCATAGATATATCAAGCACCCACGACCCAGTAAAGGACCTGAGGAGTCAGATCAACAAAGCATCTGCACTGTCAGGATGTCTGCGGGAGATAGTCTGGTCAAATCCGTATATGCGCACAGATAGTAAAATTAGAATCTATAAGACTTGCATACGACCGATCATGACATAGAAGTGCGCGAAGATACCCACAAAACGAAACAGATGCTAAGGGTTGCCGAAATGAAAACCCCAAGAACAATAATGGGGAAAACAAGAAGAGACAGGGTGAGAAATACAAACATTAGAGAGCAGTGCAAAATTCAAGATATTGTAAGATGGGGAAGGCAACGCAAGAGGATGTGGTACAACCATGTAAGACGAATGGATGAGAATAGACTCCCAAAAATTGCCCTAGAAAACAATCCGCCCGGTTCAAGATCCAACCTAAAACGCCCGGAAGACCACCTAAAAGATGGAGGGATAGTTGGCAATCTACCTCCCAAGAAATTAACCAGAGGCAGCTTCAGAATTAAACAGATCGAAAGATCTACTAAAAGTAAAAAGTAAAGTAAAAGATTCTTATATAAATTTGTAACGGCGTATAAACGAAGTATAACTTCTACCGGCAGTCCCACTGGACTGCCACACACGTTTTTTCTACAGCGTTTAGCTTTTTGATGGATTAATATTTTTTGCCCCTCCTCAGCCTACAAGGGATGTACTTCCTGGGGTGAGAGTGCAAATCTCTCTACATTTTTTCTGAGGTCCCAAAATTCATATTCTCAGCAAAATTTAGCTTGTTCGTATGATTTTTAGAGTTCAAATCTAACGATTCGACCAAAATACATTTAAGTAAAGTAACTAAAATTTATATTTAACCTAAAAGTAAATTATTAAGGGGTTTAATAGGACCTTTATATTTATAGTACGTTTAGTTCAATCATATTCAATTATCTTGGTAAACCAAGAAATAAAAATTTTCCATATAATAAAATATAAAAAACAAAATACACACTTCAAAAAACTAGGACTAATTTTGATTAAAATGCAATAACATATTATATAACTTATCTACTTAAATTGTTTCTATCACTTCAGCATTAAATAATATAATTTTAGTACAAGGTTTTGTTATGTCATCTCAAATAATTTAGATCTCTAAAAATATATATTTTATTTACTTTTACTGTATAACAAGGTATATGTGTTTTTTCGTTTTTCAAAATTAAATTTCAAAAATCAGAACATACTCTAGCTAACTACATTATTTAGTGCTATGTAATAAGCATTGGTTTTTTTTATTTACTAGTTCCATAATTCTAGTTTTATGGAAATACGCGTAAATAAAAATTTAAATATTCTTCTTTTAATGGGCCTTACATTTCTGCGTCCACCATACATTGTCTTGTCAGGGGAGATGTTAAATAGTCGGGATTAAATAATTCTGTTTTTAGCAGCATTGGAAAGCATTTCATAGCTGTGGATTCCTGTCCATTGTCGAATATTGCGCAGCCATCCCAGAACTCTCCTACCCTCTATCTTTCCTTCGAGTATCAATTGCTACAAAGTGTATCTTTCTCCTCGTAACATGTGCCCCAAGTATGTAGTCTTCTTACGTTTTACATAACTAAAAAGTTCCCTATTCTGTAAGTCCGCTCAGTACTTCCCTATTTCTGTCCCTGTCCGTCCATGATATTCTAAGCATTAGACTCAGGAACTGACTTTTAATATCCATGCTTCCATTCCGTACAAGAGAACAGGCCACAAGTAAAACTTAAGCATCTTGTATCGGAGGCTTAAGTCCAATTTGTGATCAGTCAGAAACTTACGAAGCCTCAAAAAAGCATTTCTGGCTTGTTCAACTCTGCTCTTTATTAAATTTCATTCTCGGGGTCCCAACTTTCGTTCAGTAAACAATTTAAGTATTTAAATTGCCTGACCTGTTCGATTTCTTCTCTAGGGACATATATCTTTGCGTTGTTGCGGTAATCATTTCTACTTATAATCATTGTTTTTTTCTTCTTGATATTTATTTTCCAACCCCGAGCTTCACTTGCAAGAGTTAGAATCATTTAAAAAGCATTGAAGACCTTCGATGTTATCTGCCATTATGGCTGTATCATCGGCATACCTGATGTTATTAATAAATATTATTATGATGTTAACTTTAATACCCTTACTAGAGTCTGCCACTGCTTTTGCGAAGTAGTGGAAGACTATGTCTAAATTTTTTTTACGTTTTCTAACGTCTAAATTGAACAACATTAAAGAAAGTATTTAATCTTGCCTTACTCCATTTTTAAAGAAATCTTCTGTTTCGTTGACATTTTAAAGACGTACTGTGTGTGTTTGGTTCCAATACAGATTGGCGGTAATTCTTATATCCTTGGCATCCAATCCCAGCTCTTGTAGGTATTCTATCATCAATTCGTGTGTTATATTATCGAATGCTTTCTCATAATCGACGAAACAGACAAAAACATCCTTTCTTTGATCTAAACAATTCTGTATTATTGTTTGCATACTAAAGATCGCTTCTCTCGTGCCAAGTCTATTTTTGAAAACAAACTGACTCCATCTACTGACCTCTTCACATTTCTAAAGCAATCTAGTGTGAAGTAATATTAGGAGAAGTTTAAAATAAAACTCATTAGGCTTATTATTTAGTGGTCCTTGCAGAAGTTCGCACGTGGTGTTTTTGGTAGGGCAATAAATGTAGATCGAAGCTGTAACAAAAATATTTTGCTTACCTTAGGGTAAGAACATGGGGTAGAAGATTGGACAAACAAAATAGATCGAAACAAGTTCGTACGGCACTCAGTTGGTTGTTGGAGAGCTGGGTCGTGGATAAGTTGAAGATATGGGGCTGGATTGGGGTATCTATAAAATAAAAACAAAAGGATACTTACATAAATCTCCTGGGTCAAAAAAAAAACGAATAAGATATGGCAGATAAATTTACCTCTAGCTATTTTTCTTTTCTTGGACGCCGCTTCGAAGAAAACTTCCTGCTGGGAGAAAGCAAAAAATTCTTCTTCCCTAGAATTCAGACAAAACTCTTAAACTGGCAAACAGCAACCATCAGGAATCATTTCTAGACTCCGGGATGAACGATCGAACATTCTGTTGAGGAATCAAGCTAAACAATCGTGACACGTTATACCACACTTCGCAATAAGCTTCCGGCATTCATTCAAATCTTCCGGTGACTACCATACCATAGGTAAACAATTAAAATGAAATACTCACTGTTCAAAAACGTAAATTAAAAACCAAGATTATCTTCATTGAATCGAAAAAGTCGATTCAAATCTATATGACTGTTCCTTGGGTTGATTCAGCTTGACTGCCGCACCCACCGCATTCCTTCTCTCAATTCGAATGCCGAATCACCCCTTTTCCCCGCAGTTAGCCTGTCATCCACAAACTTAAACAAGACTTCGACTTCACACAACCTTGAAATTTCCTATCCTTTTTGCGTGTTAACAAAAATTACCTGACCTGAAACTATTTTTAAGCTGAATATTTGTTGGCTAGTGTAAACAAAAATCGTTCTCACGACCAAATACATCTTTATTTTATTGCGTTTAAAAATTTCGACTTTCGTAACAGACACAACACATTTCTTAGTATACCAGGGGCGTACTATGACAATTTAGAACCGAATTTATATTATTATATAGACATTAAATATAAAACGCTACAAAGCCAATCTTTTGAAATAAGAGCTTGACAATAATGTCTATGTTTTCTTAATTAAATAACGTTAATAGTTTCTGCGTACATATCATCTAGTCCTAGTGTTTTATCAGTTTTTAATAGTGTGATAGGGTGTACAATTTCAGCTTTCAAAATACTTGGGCCATACAAATGGTCTCCCAGTTGTGGTGGTTTTGTGTTCTGTTATCAATGAACAAATTAGCTGTGTACATTTTCCAAGTATTAAGTATATCGCTAGGGTCCGTTATTAGTTCATTTTGGTCATTATGTACACCAGTGACTTGTTTTTTCTTGAAGACACCAGCAATTTCCTTAATTTTCTTGTAAAGATTGAAGCTGTCGCCGAGTTTATATAGGTTTTCAGCCTTGGTTTAAAGTGTGGTCATTCAGATCGCCTTCGCCGCTATAATTTCTTCACGAATTTGACTGTGTATATTTCGGTACCCTACTTGGTCCTGCCTAATCTTACACTCCCTGCGTTGTTCCATCATCTCTAATATTTCTTCTGTCATTCACTAGTAGTTGTTACTGTCGAGTAGAAAAGTGTTGCTTATTATCCTCGGTTGCCATATTAGAGAACCTATTGTTTATTTTCTCTGTGTACGCTTGACTTATTTCATTGTTTTTGAGTTTTCTAATGTTTACTGATGCCTTTTGGTGTTTTCTTTTAGTTGTAGCGAGCCACAGTTTAATATTTGCTACTAAGGGATTGTGGTCGGATCCTATGTCTGCTCCAAGTAATGCAGATACCTTAGCAATAGCATTCCTGTACCTTTTATTAATTGTCACATAATCTATTTGCTTCCTTATAATGCCCTGATGTCCGTCTAAAGGCGACTTCCATGTGTAAAGCCTCCCGGGTGGTAACTTATACCAAGTATTCATTATAACTAGATCTTTGTCTTGGTAGTACTGTATCAATCTGTCCCCATTGTCGTTTCTCTGACCAAGACCATATTTTCCAACTACGTGATTTACGGCTCCTTCCCCAATTTTTGCGTTAGAGTCTCCTGATACGATGTTAATTTCATGATTCTTAGTTTCTGGCTTGTCTGCTGTAGGGGCGTAGACTTGTATAATATTTATGTTAACGTTTCCATGCCACTGAATAAGTATGATTTTTTCGGAAATCGCGACAAATTTCTTCACGGAGATGCGAAAATTTTCGCTTATCAGAAATTTAAATATAACTCAGTAAAATTATATTAAACAAAATTAATTAAAGTAGATTTTATTCCTTTTAAAATTTCTGGTCGACATAAGCTAAATATATGTCATTGCATCCTCTTAGGCGTATATCACAGCACTCTTGCTCATAATTTATGAGACGACACTACAGTAGGTTTTTCGATTAAATCGTATCGCATGCACCGGTGTAAACATTTCAGTTAGTTTTTGACCTCTGGTGTATGCTCACTTACATCTAATTCCTAAAGAAGTTAAATTTTGTACGTATACAGGCCTAAGTAGTGACTTAAAATTCGCTAAATATTTTATATAAGCAAACATAAAATATTGACAAAAAATATGATTCTAATACAGAACAAAGTTATTGTATTTAAATATTTATTTTAGACGTTTTCAAATTTACATATTTTGAAAAAAAAAATTCTAAATAAATCTCAACACAATTCCAAATTTTCGCATACTTCCTCAGGATTATGTTTGTGGACCTGGCCATAGATTCTATCAACTTTTGGGAGCAAATTATGTTCACAATATTCTCTTAAATCACCTGGTAAAACACCGCATAATCTGTCTGCGTCTCTTTCAACTTCCTCCTGTAATAACATAAAAACGGTAATTTTAGTTTAAATATTAACTTATAAATTTATACTATTTAAAAATTAGGAACTAAAATTATGTAGTAATATGAATACGACATTGATGAATGAATAAAAAGTGATTATATATTTGTAAAATAATAGAGAGAAAGGTAAGTTAAATAAGAAAAATCAAAATAAAGAAGGGAACAGTAAGCATAAAAATATTGAGATAAATAAAAAATAGAACAAATTATATACATAAGATATTTTATTTTATGTAATAATTCTCATACAAATCTTACAGATGGCAAGATTTTCAAATGTGCAAAACAAAGTTATAATATAAATAGAAAAGTAAGTGAATATATATCAAAGAAGTTCTTTGAAAAGAGTCCATCAATTATGATTTCTGACGTGTAATTTTAATAAAATATAATAAATTGCAAGAATACTGACAATCGAATGGATCACTGATCTCGAAGGTGGTATAAAAGTTAAGAAAAAATATATTTTTACCTTAAGTGATGGCCTTACATCGGTCAAACTGGTAGAAATTTTAACAAACGTATAACAAAACATAAAAAGCCTTTTAATAATAAAAAACAGATTCTACATACGCACTTCACCTTCTATATCATAATCATTGTTTTAATAACGGATTTTAAATTCTTCTCATGCAAAAGAAAAATCTTAAGCTAGTTTTATTAGATAGAATCGATGGAAATTAACAAACTAAAAAACCAGATTTAGTTCTGAATGACAAATGTAAGATAAACCATTCTAATCTTCTTAAACTATTTAGTTAGGACTATAAAGTGTAAACACATACCAGAAATTAAGAAAGGCATTCTGTGGGAACAGCTATGGTCATAAGATAATATAAAAAATTTTGTGGAAGTTTTGAAAACCAAGTTTTCAGTGTTTTACTATTATATATTTGTAAATTTTCATACACAGATTTTGTTTTATTTAAAATATGCACGTAATGTTGCATGTTTTAAATATTTTTTAGTTATTAGTAATAAAATCGATTATTTTAATGCCAGTCACACAAAATGTATGTAAAATAAAATTTTCACTTAAGGACACACATTTGATGATTAAAGTGTTACTTATAAAACTTACCAAGGGTATTCCGTCTTCGACTAATTCCTTGATAACAGTGGTAAATAATATACAGTTTTCGCAAACAAATCTGTAGAAACAAACGACATTTTTATTAATTCAATTAACTCAATTCCATAGACTTTATATTTTAAAATATTAAGTTTATTTTTTATTATAAAGCTCTAAAAATGTTTCAAAAGGACTCAGTCCATACTAAACAAACTTCGTATATCAAATTTGTCTTCGTCTATTCAAATTATCAACTAGTCTTTTGAAGATCAGTTGATAATTCTGAACTAACCAAAACAATCAATAGTATCAAGAGCAATTTTTTGTGTAGTACTAATGAATTATCCATAAAAATTTTCCTAAATCTCCCAAAAAAATATGAGGAAGTCCTGGTTTCACTAACTAATGATTTTTTTAAAAAAGGTTTATTTTCAGAAAGTCTAAAGACAGCCGTTATTATTTCCCTCTATAAAGTTGACGAGAATCAATGCATGCAACTACAGACCTATTGATTTACTACTGGTACTACCAAAATTATTAAGACTTATAAAAGCCTGACTTTCCATATCATTTCGACTTATCATTTCTCGTTAAAAACAACATTTTATTACAAAGGCAGATCTGCTGTTTATCTAATGAATGTACCAGAGATAATATGTTTTTTTACTACCTGAGGTCTATCAAGCACTGAACAAAAATCGTTACACTGACACTGTTTTTTGTCACTATGCCAAAGCTTTTGATTGTATAAATCACAACATTTTAATAACAAAACTAAATTTCCACGAAATTCCAGGTACTTCTTTAAAGTGACTTCAATCCTACTTGGAAAATAGAAAACAAAGAGCTAGAGCAAATATTACTCATTCTAGTCACAAAAGCATTTACGTAGAGAATCACAAGGTTCAATATCGAGTCCTTTACTTTTTGTTATTTTGATAAATGATGTTACTTGAAAATTGACATAAAATTTTTTCTTTTTACTGATGGTACCAGTATCGTCTGGAAAAACTCTAATACTGCAACTCTTTTAACTAATTTACTAATTTACTCTCTTTTAACATGGATAAAACAGAAGCATTATCCTAAGAACGAGCTCTTCAACTCTTGCTTCTTAATAACAGTCAGAGCAGTATCGTTAAATCTGAAAAATTTTTTGGTATTTTTATAGACAGTAACCTTAAATGGTCCCTTCATATCGATTTGTTAAGTAAGAAACTAGTTTTAGCTTGCTATGCAATAAGATCTGTTTTAAACAAAATCAATTAGTTATCTTCCAAAATTACATTTTTTTTTTCCAATCTCATTTATGATATGATTTTAATTTTTTGGGGTTCTAGTACATTGTTAAAAATTAAATTTTCAATCGGGCGTAATGAATCTTTAAACATGTATTATTGAGGCTAAGAAATTTTAACAATATTTTTTTTTGATATAACAAGCCAGATTGGCAAATATTTTATTAGCAAATTGCTTTTATTTGTAGAATTTTTACTTACTCAGGATCTTCAGTAGGCTCGGGTTCAGGTTCAGGGGTTCTTTCAGCGAATACGGTCAGACCTAAAAGTAAACAATAACTCTAAGACACAAGTCAGCTTTTTTATTGTTAAACATTTTTAAAATGAAATAACTTTTATCATAAAGTTTTTGTATTTTTAAATTTACCAAAATGTGGTACGCTACAAATGAATCCAGCAATCTGTAGCCAGATAAGCAATTAAATACAAATAAACAAAATAACAATCAATTAAATTTTTTTATGGAATAAAAGATATTTGAAAATATATCACAAACTTTTTAAATAATGTTTAAAAACCACTGAACAAAAAAAAATGCTTAGAAAATATACTTACAAAATAAAACAGCAGAAAACTATGAAGAATTTAAAAAATGCAGAAGATTAGTAAACTAATTTGTTGCAAAAGTAAAAAGGAAAAAAAGTACAAAATTTGGAAAAAAAATAAAAACAAATAGTAAAGACAATTAAAAACTGTTTGATGAATTTCTAAAATAAATGAAAAAATCAAAAAATTAAGGCACAAAAATGAAGAATAAAACAAAATTCTTACAGAAGAAAACAAAATAATTAACAGATGGTGAGAATATTATTAAGAGATACTATAAAATGCTATCGAGAAGAAAACAACCTGTTGCAGTTGTTTGGTTGATTGATTCCATTTTGATTTTAATTATTTGTATAAGGTATTGATTCTTAATTTCATGTTGTTGTTTTTTAGGGTAATATATGTTGTTGTTCTAGCAAGACCTATGTACTGTGGCCTGATAATGGTTCATATATTGTAAGCCTTGAAACAGCTAGCCTAGATATTCTACTTCAATAAAAAACTTACCTAATATTGAAGATTGAATTATCATCTATACACTAGTATTATGGATTTACATTGGTAACATTTGCATCATTTGGCAGCATAATTAAGTAATATCAAAGCAGATTTAGAAATTTAGAAAATTGCCTCATGATCATATCAAAAAAAGAATATAAAAACATTAGCAAACAGAAAAAAATGTATTTGTTGAACACATACCCTAAAAAGGACACTTTCCTTTAATACCAAGACAAAAATTTTGAGAAAAAATATAGAGAATAGGGATAAATAACAAAATAATCAGGGTATTGATCTGGGAAAAAATTTACAACGGCAATTGAATTATGTCATCAGTTTAAAGTAAACATCAAAAACCATTAACTAAAATTAAACATCTGACACAAGAAAACAAGTCCAAAGCTATTTATGCTTAATATGGGATAAGATAATTAAAAAATTAAGAAGTTCGTTATATTGACGGAAAATAATAAATATCTTCAAAATATCTTCAAATCAACTTAAAATTATGCAATAAAGTACTTACAAAAATATTAAATGACAATTAAAAATAATACAAGCGTTATACTGATAGGTGATAATTAAGATTAAAAAGAATGCGGAAATTAAGTCAATATATAGGCCTGGCCCTGTACTAACCATTCAGCAGATGACAATCCGAGCCATTGCCGCAAGTTTTGGAGCCACGAGTGTCTTCTCCTCACTGGACCCCTTCTGCTTTCTATTTTCCCTTGAACGATCAGCTGTAGTACTCTATATTCATTATATCTCATAACGTGACCCAAGTATTCCAACTTTCTTTTTTTTATACCTCTTCCTACCTCTCTCTCTTTACCTATTCGGCGTAGTACCTCTTCGTTGGTCACGTGCTCAATCCAGGATGTACGTAATATACATCGGTAAGCCCACATTTCGAAGGCCTCTACTTTTTTCATCAATGTTGCGGTCATTGTCCACGCCTCCATTCCATATAACAAAACCGAGAATACATTACATTTCAGAAGTCGAATTTTAAGAGGTAGGGTAAGGCTTTTAGAGGTGAAAATTTGCTTCATGCTAGTGAATAATGCTCTTGCCTTTTCTACTCTTATACGTATTTCCTTCGCTTGATCCCAATTTGAATTAACTGTTGTTCCCAAGTAGATGTACGAATCCACGTGTTCAATTCTTTTATTGTCTAATATCAGTTGCTGTGGTGGTTGTTGGGTTTTGCTTACTAACATCCAATTGGTTTTTGTGATATTTAGTATGAGTCTGCATTGTGCACTTGTTTTTTGTATCTTACTCATTAGGCAACTCAGTTCCTCCATGCTACTTGCTTGAATCACAGTGTCATCAGCATACCTTATGTTATTAATTATTTCTCCATTTATCTTTATGCCTTTTGTGCTTTCCTCCAGCGCTGTCTTAAATACTTCTTCTGAGTATATATTAAATAGAATTGGAGACAAGATACAGCCATGTCGTACATCTTTCTTGATCTCAATTTTATTGGTCAATGTAGATCCTACTTTCACTTTAGCTGTTTGACCCCAATAGAGACTCGCTATTGTTCGAATGTCTCTATAGTCGACTCCGATCTTATGGAGAACCTCAATTATCTGTTCGTGCTTTACGGTATCGAATGCTTTTGCGTAGTTTATAAAGCATGTAGTTAGCAAGCGTGTAGTTAGGACTAACATATTGCCAAATTGCTAGTTATATAAGCTGCTAATAATAACCGACATTTGCCTTTTTTTTCTACTGTATATTTGTGGCTTTAACAGTTTTGTTTCTTTTTCGCCTCTTAAAATTGCCTCCTTGGTTTTTGCTCCTGAGATACTCAGTACATCCAGAACATAAGCGGAATTAAGAAACATTTAGTCAAAAGTACACAGATAAATTAAGTCTTGTATAATAAGTAGTACATGACTAGTAGTTACGAATGATAAAATTGTTATACTGAATAACCATAAAAAATATTTATTACTTACCGACGCAGAACAAGAGAGTCAACACCAATGTAGTCTTCATGTTTGAGAATTGTATTTTACAATCACGTGTATCGTCAGTTTAGCTTTATATACTATAAGAAGTCAACCACTTACAAAAAGAACCACTTGACTTATTACGTTTCTTGTTATTGTTAATACTCCCCACTACCTTTTCATATTTGTTAACTTTGATTTCCATAAACGATAAGGTGAAGTACTTATTATAACATAATGATCATTTAAGATATGTAAAAAAACTTCTTTTGTGTAATCCAGAAATCTTGATGCTTTACTGATAATAAATCTACATATTATCAGTCAATATCAATAAGACATCTTATCTTGATTATTTGCATAGTCTGAAAATTTGACATTGTCAGAGGTCTAGAATATTTAACCCCTAGATATGAGTAGTATATTGAAAAACTTTAATTATTTTTTACAAGCTTTTGCGTAAATATAAAAATTACAAAGTCTATTTATATTATTATCATCATCAGTGGCATTACAGCTCGTTATGAGCCAAAACCGTCTTCAAAACAATTGTGTCCCTGTTTTTGACAACTCTTCTCTATGCTTTAACTCTGTTGGATTTTAGATTATCCTGTATCTTACCGTGATAACTATGTTTTGGTTTTCCTCTGGCTCATCTTCCCACTGATTCTCTTTGGTCGAAAATTTTTCTGATCATTGTATCTTCATCTCGCCTAATTACAAGTCCTATCCATCGGAGGCGTGCTAATTTTATCCATTCTGCAACGTCAAGTTTTCCAAAACTTCTATATAACTCAAAGTTGTAGAGCCTACGCCACAAACCCTCTTCTTGGACTCCTTTATATATTTTCCTTAGAATTTTGCTCTCGAAACGTGTTTGCAACTCTTGGTCGTTCTGTGTAAGTGACCACGTTTCTATCCCGTATGTTATGACTGGCTCTATTATTATTTTACTAGCACTTATTGGTAAGCGTCATTCTTCTTTTAATTTCTTCACTGAAATTGTTCTCGTTGGTCAGCAGCGAGCCTAGGTAGACGAAGGCTTCCACACCTTCTAGTTAATGATCATGAATTCTTAGTCTAAATATCTGGTTTCCTGGTGTAGTAAAATACGTATACTTGGTTTTCTGCGCATTTATTTTTAATTCACACTTCTCTAATTAAAATGTTTCGATCAGAGATTCTGTGAACCTAGCAATAATGTCTATATCATCTTCGTATCCGACCACTTTTACAGATTTATTAAAGATGGTGCCATTCGTATTATTATGGCACTCTCTTTTTCTAGTGCAAGGTTAAATAAGAGATAGGACAGTCGATCTCCTTATCCCAGTTAATTTTTATAATGAAAGGGTCTTGAAAAGTAGTTTTGGATTCTGTCTACACTCTCTCTGCATGTAAGTGTAAGTTCCATTAGTTTAACAAAATGAAGTTGCATTTAAAATTCCATCATAGCCTGTAAAAGTTTTTCTCTGTTGACTGTGTCGTGTGCGGCTTCGAAATCCACGAATATATGGTGGGTGTCGACTTCGAACTTAAGCGTTTTCTCAGAAATCTGTCTGACTATAAACATTTAATCCGTTGTAGATTTATTGGGTCGAAAACCGCACTGGAAGTTTCCAACTTTTTGTTCAACATAGGCGATTATATCTCCTTTCTTGTGAAGAGGGTGGCTTACACCTAATTTCGAATCTGCGGGCATTCCTTCCACTGCCAGATTTCGGTGACTGATTTATGCATGTATTTAAAAAGGGTGTCATTACTATTTTTAAAGTGTTTTTCAGGAATATTGTCCAAACCAGGAGCCTTGTTATTTCCAGCTTTGAAAAGGCTTCTCTAATTCCTCCTTAGGGGGCGACTTTTGAGCGTTTATCATTTTAGGGCAAAGTAATTTTTATTTGGTCTTCTTCAAGACTATTGCTAAGCAGTTTTTCAAAATGATTTGCCTATCTGTTTACGATCTGTTTTTTGCCACTAATTATGGAACCACCTCTGTTTTTACATGCTTTCATTCTGGATTTAAATCCTTTTCTACAGCTGTTTATCTTCTGGCAGAATTCTTTTTTTATTGTAGTCGTTAACAATCTCGTTTAGAGCGTTTTTGTATGGTTTTTTCTTTTTTCTTCCAAACGTCCTTTTTTATTCTCGTCTAAAATTTTCATAGCCTTCCAGGTTTGATCTCATTTAATGGTTAATGGATCTACATTTTTCGTCAAACCAATCTTTGTTGATTTTAGCCTAGGTAGGTTTTAAAGCGCCGCTGTATGGATAGCTTCCTTGCATTTGATCCAGTGTTCTTCTATACTTAAATTTTCGTCGATTCTTGTCAGCTAATCATTTAAAATTTTCCTGTAGTTATTCCTAGCGTCTTCAGATTTTAGCATATCAGTATTATATTTCGTAGATTTTGTGCTCTGACACTTCTTAGTGTTTGAAGTTTTGTTCCTACAAGTTAGTAGCCAAAGTCTATATTAGCACCTCTACATGCTCTTACATCTAGTACGTCCGAGAAATGTCAACTGTCAAGTAGTACATGGTCAATTTTGTTTTTTGTTTGACCGTCTGCTAATTGCCATAACCGTGGCTTGGTGAAGATCCAGTTTTAACAGAATAAACTTTGTTAAAGAATACAAGATGTCTGACCATTTCAGTTCTAGCAATTATCATTTAGATAACCTACTGAAACTTGTCTAAATTCCCACAAACTGTTGGGTACTTTAAAACCATCGTACCATAGTTCGAAGATGAGCTGTATTTCGAGCATTTTAGGATAAGCCAAAGACTCTCAATCCAATTGGTTAAAAACCTTAAAGTACATTACAGTGTTTTAGTGCCTTATTGGGAATAAGGCAGAGTCGTTCAGGAATGTCGCTAATAGATTTACTCTTTGTATTTAAAATTGTAAGAAGAGTATCTAACTTATTAAGCAGCTTATCGTCCGAGATTATTAATTTTTTTTGCAGCATTAATATTTTTTTATATTTATTTATATACATTTTATAAGATTATATAATCAGTTTTATATTCTAATACCATTTTTGTAATAATATTTTAATTTTTGCAAGTTTTTCTTAATTTTTCAAGGTTTTTTTAGATTTATTTTAGTTTCTAAAACGCAGTAAACATAAAACCCCTTTTTTCATTATTTTCACAAAGTCCTAAAAATTGCTATCGGTTGTTTTTGACAATCCAGCTAAATATGGCATCTTTACCATTACTCACGTAGTCACTGGTAGATAGTTCTGGTAAAAACTTCGTTCAAATCTATAAAACAAACATATTTATAGGATAGAGAAAGACCTTTACGTACCAAGCTGAAACTTTTCCCATTTCATAAGACATGAATCTGTCCAAAAATTAAAATATTGTTTACAAATAAGCTTTTCGACAAATCAAGCTAGGCCATAAAATGAAACAATCCAGGCACTAACGACTGAATTAAAGATTTTCAAAATTCGTTCGGTGGTTGAGTTGGTCGAAGTGGTCAAGGGGTACAACCCAATTACGAAGGATTTTAAACTGATCCTAAAAGCGTCTATCACTCGCAATGCGAACGAAACTTATGTTATAAATGACAAACGCATGATATTGCGTTTACTACTCCACGTAGTGTGTGTGGAATGAAAAATAGTACGTGGAAAACGAGTGTGCAACTGTATATACCCGTAAAAGAGCGCAGTATATATAATGTGTGTACACATAGGTATAAAATTTGTGATTCGCAGGATCAATGGTCTTTTGTCCTGTAAGATCTACCGCTCCGTCAGAAGCCTGCGCTAAGAAAGTCATTTTACCAAGAAACTCGAGAGCGTTCAAAGGAAAATAATGGTATTAGGGCCAGTGATTAAAGGATAATGTGTACAGCGGCTCTACCAAATTACGAAATTAATTTTCATCGTTTTAATTTAGCACCAGAAAAAAATAAATAGGAAATAAACAAAAGAAGTGATCATAAAAAAATAAAAGGTGCAAATATAAAGCTGCCGAATTGTCATTTTAGGCAGTTTTCAAGTAGTCGAATTAGAATATAATCAGTACCATATAATTGCGACAACTTATTTTTAATTGTTCTGTCCATAAAGTTTTAAAATCTCATTGAGAAAATTAAGTGAGAAAAACAATTAAAACTCATTGAGATTTTTTTTTATCTTTTTTTATTGTATTTAAATTTGTGTTTATTCATCCTATATTTTTAGGATTTTTATTATTATTTTTTTATGAATGATTATTTTACGTCACTGATAAGATACGTTCATCACTGAATTCTGCATGTCTTGTTTTACTTTAGTTAATCTTTTTTTGAAAATGAACAAACTGCAGAAATTCCTTAATTAAATATTCTAAAAAATAATAAATACAAAAATCACGATAGTTGACATTTGTATCTACTTGATATGCAAAGTTGGTAATTTTTTCCATTCTGCCCCATATTATATGGAGTAGAATAGAAGAAGCATGAATAAAAAATATAATTAGTGGAAAATAAACTTCTTCTTCTTCATGTACCATGTCCTTTCAGAACGTTGGTTACCATCATAGCTATTTTAATTTTATTCACTGCCACCCTAAATAGCATGCTTGTATCTACACCATACCAATCTCGCAAGTTCTTCAACCATGAGGTTCTTCTTCGTCCTTTTTCGTCCTGGACTGCGTTAAAATAAACGTTTGTTAATATTACCCCTAATATAATTTTTAATTAACCTATAATTCATCAATGAAAACTGATTCATTATTCTCGCTATCTATATGTGCACCACTATATACAGTCCAACTGTAGCACGATGAGCATGCTACCTTTCCTTCGTGAGAAGTTGAATGAAATTATTGGCAGAACACTGGGCATTATCTTTAAAGTCACTAAAATCAGAGTCTATTTTCTTGTTCTTCTTACAGTATTGTGCGAATTAAAGGAATCATAGGCTATTTTAATGAAAAAAGAATTTATTTAGTAAAAAATTATATTTTGACAAAACTGTAATGGTAAACTTACATCATTCAGTAGGAAATATGTCCCCCTTTGGCAGCAATTACTGCTTTTACCCGTTTTGGCATAGATTCTTTGAGTTTCTGGCAGTTGTCAGATATCCTTCTAT